GGGGGGGGGTCTGGGGCCAGCGCGCGGGAGGGACGCTTGGATGCCTCGAGGACGCCGTTCGGGCGGGGAGGGTCCCGCAGGTCCCACTGACCCACACGGGGTGGGGTCAGGGGTGGACGCTCGTCCGTACGCGGTAGCTACTGAACATGCTTGGGCCAGAGTCCGATGGCAGGCGCCCCACGCAGGGGGAGCGAGGCCCAGGGTACCCCGGAGAGCCCATGGACAAGTACCAGGTGCCGAGTGTTCCCTGCGGGGAGGCGGGGGCTCCGTGGGGTAACGGTCGCCAACCCTGGAGCTGCGGCCGGCGGTTCCGACCGAGGGCGGCGAGGGACCCGCGCCCTAGTCAGTGTTGGCCTCCAGCTCCTAGATTGAACCCGGGGGGCCTCCAACGGTGACCTCCTGGGTGCCCTTTGCCACTCAGTTTCCCCCTTTGTGAACTGACTAAGGATTCTCCAGCCCTGGCTGAATATTTGAGGGCGTGGGGCAGCTCCTCTATCCTTTGTGCCCGGGGTCTGGGCGCTTGGGTCCACCGAGGCAGGACCCCCGGGAACATCCCGAGTACGTAATTGGGAGCCCCCAGTCCCCTAAAAACACCCCTGCAGTGTGGGTCTTTGAAAATATTTGAGACCTAAAAAATTTACAAAACACAAAAGGAAAGCTGCAAAATAAAAGTGAATGTTTAATTAAATGCTTCTATACATGATATGTAAACTTTATTAAATGTTAGATTCAGCATTTGTGAAAACCGCATTCGCTTGGAAACAGTTTGCGGATTAGATTTTTGTCACTTGGGAAGAATTGTCTTTGTGTGAGAGGACTATAGGGCGTTGCCAGCGGTGACGCAGATGAGCTTCTGGTGGCCAGATAATTTTTTAAATAAAGTTACTTTTCAGAGAAAAAAAAAATAGACCTTTCAGGAATATACCTGCTTTTGGAAAAAAAATAGACTTGTTCTAAGATATGGGTCCATTTTACTGTTTAACTTGCTGCCTAAGTCTGAATGCTCTCACACCAGCTCTGCCCTCAGCCCCCTGTGGCTTAGAACAGCAGTCCCCGGCCAGGCTTGGTGGCTCGCGCCTGTAATCCCAGCACTTTGGGAGGCCATGGCGGGGGGATCACCTGAGGTTGGGAGTTCGAGACCAGCCTGACCAACGTGGAGAAACCCCGTCTCTACTGAAAATACAAAATTAGCCGGGCGTAGTGGCGCATGTCTGTAATCCCAGCTACTCGGTGGCTGAGGCAGGAGAATTGCTTGAACCCAGGAGGCAGAGGTTGTGGTGAGCCGAGATAGCACCATTGCACTCCAGCCTGGGCCACAAGAGCAAAACTCTGTCTCAGAAACAACACACAACAAAACAAAACAAAAAAACCAGCAGTCCCCAACCTTTTTGGCACGAGGGACTGGTTTTGTGGAAGACAATTTTTCCACAGACGGAGGCGGGAGGATGGTTTCGGGATGATTCAAGCACGTTACACTTAGTGTGCAGTTCATTTCTATTATTATATCGTAATACATAATGAAATAATTACACAACTCACCATCATGTAGAATCAGTGGGAGCCCTGAGCTTGTTTTCTTGCAACTAGACGATCCTCTCTGGGGATGATAGGAGACAGTGACAGATCATCAGGCATTTGATTCTCTTAAGGAGTGTGCAACCTGGATCCCTCACGTGCACTGTTCACAATAGGGTTCACACTCCTATGAGAATCTAACGCTGCTGCTGAGCTGACAGGAGGCGGAGCTTGCGTGGTAATGCCAGCCATGGGGAGCGGCTGTAAATACAGATGAAGCTTTGCTCCGTTGCCTGCTGCTCACCTCCTGCTGTGCAGCCTGGTTCCTAAACAGGTCACAGACTAGATTGGGGACCCCAGCTTAGAATATCCAGCAGGCTGCTCACAAGGCTGGATTACAGACTCCTAAATCTTTTATAGGCTCCGAGAGTCCCTAGGCTCAGGCTTCCATCCTCATATCTCCTCCTCTGGATCCTGCCCTCCCTCCCCCAGTCCTCAGATGCATGTTAGCCTCCAGCAATCTCCGGCCCGGCCCCCTGCCCCATAGTACTTGGTCTCTGCACAGAGTTCTGACTTGGTGGCCATCTCTCTACAAATTTGTCTCAAATCACAGGCTCTAAGGTCAGACCCTCAGAGTTACCCCAGGCAGTGTCCTGCTTTCTAGTGACATAGCCTCAGGCAAGGACCTAGCTCCTTGTGCCTCAGTTTTCCCCAATGTAAACACAGAGGTAGCAATGGTGTCCACTGCGTAGGGTGGCTGTGAGGTGCTTGGCACCATGCCAGGCACACAATGGCTTCCTGATTGTACCAGCCACAAGACTGGTTACTTTCTTGTTTGAAGCCAGTTTGGAGGTGGATGCTGGAAGCTGAGGTCGCACGGGTCTACAGAGAGTGAATAAGCCCTTTTCCTCTGGGAGGTTCTTGCTCTTGAGTGCCCAGCCGGTCCTCATTGCAGTTTGGGGGAGGGATACAGGGTTGTAGAAGAAAGAGCTCCAGAATCGGCCCCAAATAGGTGAGATCAGAGTCCTGCCATTGAAAGGCTTCTTGCCCTCCTTGGGCCGTTTCCTCTATTGCAAGATGGGGTGGAGCCACTTGCTCTGCTAGCCTGACCGGGGAGTTACCGGGACCGGAAAAGGAGCTGGAGCTGGGCTTCTGGAAAGGGATAAGTTGTGTGCATTTCCTGAAAGCTTTTCTCTTCCTTGCTGGTAGGTTTTGTATCAGCTGAATCCTGGGGCCTTGGGGGTGAACCTGGTGGTGGAGGAAATGGAAACCAAAGTCAAGCGTGTGATAAAGCAGGTAAGAGGCCAAGCCTGTGCATCCCACGCCAGGTGGTTCTGTGGCTGTGATTTTCTCCAACACAAGCTCTTCCCATGTTGGAGAAGCTTCCTGATGCGGCAGCTAGATTCCTCGCTGCCAGCACTCCCAGAGACAAATCTGGTTAGGGTAGACGTGGGGGTGCGTGAAGCTCTGTCACCTTGATGGGGAAGCAATGCTAATTTTTACTCCATCACCACCACCTCCTACCATTTACACATCACGTGCTGTATGCCAGGCACCGACTCACTTCATCTCCCGTCAACCCTGTAAAGCAGAAACAATGACCCTGTTTATAGCCAAAGACAGTGAGGCTCAAGGCAGCGCCAGACTAGCCAAGGTCACACAATTTCCCAGAGGATTTGAATTCAGGCCACCTCATTGGGGGACACCGTGCTACCCAGTGCTGGGTCACCAGTTTTACCAAAAGGGAGCCAAGCCCAGAGAGGATGGGGACTGGCTCAAGGTCACACAGGGCTAAGGTCACACACCAGGCCCTGAGCCCTTCCACCGCACTCCTCACCAGGGCTAGCAGGGCATAGGGAGGTGTAGGCCTGCAGGACAGCCCTTTGTGTGTCCGAGACAGGGAGGTCCAGATCAACAGAGGGACTAGGGTGAGAGAGCTGCTGCAAGAGTCCCTGGCACGCCCTCCTCTCTGTGGTGGTGGCAGGGACCCAGCAGGTTTAGGGCTGGCCGCGCAGCAGCAGGAGCCTTGTCAGAAGCCGCTACTGGGCCAGGCCTCAGTCTGTGCAGCTCCGCAGCCTCACCCTGAATGGTTGGGCCTGGAGTCCTTGCTCCTGCCCTGCTCCCTTGCTGGCTGGCTGTGGGGTTGGCCCCCTTGTCTCACAAGCCACTGAGGCAGAGTGGCTGACTGCTCTCTGAGCAATTAAGGAGCTTTTGTGTGTGTGTGTGTGTGTGTGTGTGTGTGTGTGTGTATGTGTTCGGAGACAGAGCCTTGCTCTGTCGCCCAGGCTGGAGCGCAGTGGTGCAATCTCAGCTCACTGCAACCTCTGCCTCCCGGCTTCAAGCAATTCTCCCACCTCGGCCTCCCAAGTAGCTGGGACCACAGGCACACGCTGCCACGCCTGGCTAATTGTATTTTAGCAGAGACAGGGTTTCACTGTGTTGCCCAGGCTGGTCTCAAACTCCTGAGCTCAGGCAATCCGCCTGCCTCGGCCTCCTAAAGTGCTGGAATTACAGGTGTGAGCCACCGCACCCAGCCTGAGGAGCTTTTAAAAACATCAGCCGTGACTAGGCATGGTGGCTCATCCCTGTAATCCCAGCACTTTGGGAGGCTGAGGCAGGTGGATCCCTTGAGATCAGAAGTTCGAGAGCAGCCTGGCCAACATGGTGAAACCCCATCTCTACTAAAAATACAAAAATTAGCCGAGCATGGCGATGAGTGCCTGTAATCCCAGCTACTTGGGAGGCTGACGCTGAAGAATCACTTGAACCCGGGAGGCAGAGGTTGCAGTGAGTCAAGATTGCGTCACTGCACTCCAGCCTGGGTGACAGAGCCAGACTCTGTCTAAATTAATTAATTAAATTAAAAATAAAAATATCAGCCAATTATTTCTAAATAAAAATTGGGGAAGGAGAGTGTAGGTAGGAGTTTATGGGTTCTTCCAGTCTTTTTTCCTAAGAGTTTATAAATTTTTTTGGATTTAGGAGAATGGTATTGTTAAAGTTGATAGCATGCTTTTTATATTGCAAGCATTCCCACAGCCTCCTCCTGTCCTGGCTCTGGCAGCTGTGTGGCCTCCCGTCTTGCTTGATGTGCTGTAGCTGACCCAAGCCATCCCTATCACACGGGCTGAGCATTGAGCTTGTTCTCAATTTTTCACTTTGTGTAAACAGCTCTGATAAAGATGCTTATAGCATTATGGGGTTTTTTTTTGTTTTTTGTTTTTTTTAGCATCCATGATTTCCTTAGGAAAAATTCCTAGGAGTGAGATTTCTGGGTCATACAATGTAACTTTTTTTTTTTTTTTTTTTTTGAGATGGAGTTTTGCTCTTGTTGCCTAGGCTGGAGTGCAGTGGTGTGATCTCGGTTCACTGTAACCTCTGCCTCCCGGATTCAAGTGATTCTCCTGCCTCAGCCTTCCCGAGTGGCTGGGATTACAGGCATGCGCCACCACACCTGGCTAATTTTGTATTTTTAGTAGACGGGGTTTCTCCACTAACATGGAGAGGATGCTCAGGCTGGTCTCGAACTCCTGACCTCAGATGATCCGCCCACCTTGGCCTCCCAAAGCGCTGGGCTTACAGGAGTGAGCCACCACAGCCAGCCTTTTTTTTTTTTTTTTTTTTTGAGACGGAGTCTCGCTTTTGTTGCCCAGGCTGGAGTGCAATGGCGTGATCTTGGGCACTGCAACCTCCTTCTCCCAGGTTCAAGTGATTCTCCTGCCTCAGCCTCCTGAGTAGCTGGGATTACAGGCATGCGCCACCACACCTGGCTAATTTTGTATTTTTAGTAGAGACAAGGTTTCTCCACGTTGGTCAGTCTGGTCTCAAACTCCCGACCTCAGGTGATCCGCCCGCCTCAGCCTCCCAAAGTGCTGGGATTACAGGCGTGAGCCACTGTGCCCAGCCACGATGTAGCATTTTCAAGCCTTTCTATATGTTTTGGCCAACTTCACCTCCTCATATGCCCCCTGGGACAGGAGGAAAGGAAGACAGGAAGGCTCACACAGTGTCTTTGCCCTGGATTCCACGGGACAGTGCCACTGGCATCTCAGGTCTCTCCATAGATCTGGGAACAATTCACTAACTTTACATGATGGTCTGCAATCACCCCATTATAAGAGTACTTCATTCATAAGTCTTTTGAGCAACATTCTGGGTGAAGATCTGGTATTAGAGCCAGTGGTAGTATACACCTAGGGCCTGTGCCACCAAGCGTGCTGTAGACTCAAAGCTCTGTGCTTCTCTTGCCACCGGGTACCCTTCCCTTTCCATGCCCCCCCCACCTCCACCCGGAGAAGGCACAGGAAAGAGAGAAGAGCACTGCACATTCCATGCATGGAGACAACCTTCCCCATGTGGGTAAGGAATGAAGTGGTGCAATTGATGCTTTCTCAACCAGAACAAGATGTTCCTGTTTAAAGATGGTCTGAAAATGGATCCTTTACTGATTTCTTGGAATTTATATTATGCTGTCCTAAACTTATCTTTGCAACAGGAGCAGAGATGTTCTCATTGCTCTAAGTATTTTTAGATCTCTGCCTTAGGAATATCTTCCGTTTGTGCCATATGGTGGGGGCAGGAATGGTGGGAGCCTGTCACTCCTGCTAAATAATGATGATGGTGGTGATGATGGAGGTGGCAATGATGGTGGTAGTGGTGGTGATGGTGGTGGCAGCTAGATGGTGATGATAATGGTGATGGTGTGATGATGGTGATGGTGGTGCTGATGATGGTCTTGGTGATGTGATGATGGTGATGGTGGTGGTGATGGTGTGATGGTGTGATGTGGTGGTGGTGGTGGTGGTGGTGGTGGTGGTGGTGGTGGTGTGATGGTGATGGTGCGATGATGGTGATGGTGGTGCTGATGATGGTCATGGTGATGTGATGATGGTGATGGTGGTGGTGATGGTGTGATGGTGTGATGGTAGTGGTGGTGGTGGTGGTGGTGTGATGGTGATGGTGGTAATGATGGTGATGATGGTGGTGATGATGGTAATGATGGTGATGATAGTGGTGATGGTGACGATGGTGTTGATGGTGTGATGATGGTGATGGTGTAATGGTGATGGTGGTGGTGGTGTGATAGTGATGGTAATGATGTTGGTGATGGCAATGATGATGGGGATAATAGTGGTGATGATGACGGTGGTGTTGATGGTGTGATGGTGGTAATGATAGTGGTGGTGGTGATGGTGGTAATGATTTTGATGATGGTGATGATTGTGTGATGATGCTGATGATGGTGGTGATGGTGATTTTGGTAATAATGGTTATGAAGGTGATGATAGTGTTGATGGTGATGGTGGTGGTGATGGAGTGATGGTGGTAATGGTGGTGGTGTGATGATGGTGGTGATGGTGATGATGATGGTGGTGATGGTGATGATGGCAGTGATGGTGATGGTGGTGATGATGGTGGTAATGATGATGTTAATTATGGTGATGGTGGTGGTGACGGAGTGATGGTGGTAATAGTGGTGGTGTGATGGTGATGATGGTGATGATGGTGGTGATGGTGATGGCAGTGATGATGGTGGTAATGATGATGGTTATGATGGTGATGATAGTGGCAATGGTGACAGTGGAGGTGATGGAGTGATGGTAATGGTGATGGGGATGATGATGGTGATGATGGTGATGACAGTGGTGATGGTGATGGTGATGATGGCAGTCATGGTGATGGTGGTGATGATGGTGGTAATGATGGTGATGGTGGTGGTGATGGAGTGATGGTGGTAATGGTGGTGGTGTGATGATGGTGATGGGGATGATGGTAATGATGGTGGGGATGGCGGTGATGATAGTAATAATGGTGATAGTGGTGATGGTGATGGTGGTGATGATGGAGTGACGATGGTAATGGTGGTGATGGTGGTATGATGATGGTGATGATGGTGGTGATGGTGATGGTGGTAATTGTGGTAATGATGATGTTAATGATGGTGATGATAGTGGTGATGGTGGTGGTGATGGAGTGATGATGGTAATGGGGGTGGTGGTGATGTAATGATGGCGATGGCGGTGATGGTAATGATGGTAATGATGGTGATGATGGTGGTGATGGTGATGATGTGATGGTGATGATGGTGGTGATGGTGTTGATGATGGTAATGATGGTGATGATGGCAGTGATGGTGATGGTGATGGTGGTGGTAATGATGATGTTAATGATGGTGATAACAGTGATGGTGGTGGTGATGGAGTGATGGTGGTAATGGTAGTGGTGGTGGTGTGATGATGGTGATGGCAGTGATGGTGATGATGGTAATGATGGTGATGATGGTGGTGATGGTGACAGTGATGGTGGTGATGGTTGTGGTTGTGGTAATGATGGTGATGGTTGTGGTGGAGATGGTGGTTGTGGTGATGATGGTAATGGTCATGGTGGTGGTGGTGATGGTGGTGATAATGGACATGATTTGCTACATGTTTATTAAGCTCATGCTCTTGTGCCCTTGCAGGTGGAATGCATGGATGACCATGAAGCCAGTCAGGCCCTGGAGGAGGTAACTCTCAGGGTGGTTTCCCCTCTGGAAGAGCTCAATGGAGCATACACGGACTGTGTTCTGTACCTTCTTGTTGAGTGCCTGGGTAAAGGGAAGGCTGGAGGGAGGGATAGAGCATCAGCACCAGTTTTGCCTCAGCTGTGAAGCCAGCAGCCCCAGGTCGTGAAGGGAGGCCATGCCCCAAACACTCACTGCTAAATGCAGGTGCCAACAACTTAGAACATATATTCCCAGAGAACATAAAGTTTAAATATTGGGCTGCACACAGTGGCTCACGCTTGTAATCCCAGCACTTTGGGAGGCCGAGGCGGGTGGATCACCTGAGGTCAGGAGTTCAAGACCAGCCTAGCCAACATGGGGAAACCCCATCTCAACTAAAAATACAAAAAAATTAGCTGGGCATGGTGGTGAGTGCCTGTAATCCCAGCTACTTCGGGAGGTTGAGGCGGGAGAATTGCTTGAACCTGGGAGGCGGAGGTTGCAATGAGCCGAGATCACACCATTATATTCCACCCTGGGCAATACAGCAAAACTTCATCTCAAAAAGAAATAAATATTGGCCAGGTCCCTAGGTTAATCTACCAATAACATTTTTTTAAATTTTTTTCTTCAATATAAAATTATTAATTACAGAAGAAAATTTTTTAAATACAGAATTGGGTTTTCTTTTGCTTTTACCTTTTTTTTTGCTTTAATAACAATGGAGTCTCACCATTTTGCCCAGGCTAATTTTGAACTTCTGAGCTCAAGCAATCCTCCCACCTCGGCCTCCAAAGTGCTGGGGTACAGGCATGTACCACCACGCCCATACCAGAATTGTTTAACAAAGCAAATGTAAATTATCCTTCATTCTACCATTCAGAGCTGCCCAGCAGTAACATAGTCATTTACAATAATAGCGATAACAGCTGCACTTCGGTTTGATTGGCAAAGCCTCTGAGTAGCCTTTTTTTGTGTTTCTTGAATTTCCCACGAGCTTGAAGGTGTCCCTTCCTATCTCATGGTCACTTGTTTGTCTTCTGGAATTGCTGGCTCTGCAGCTTGGCCAGCAAACATTATTCGGTGTATAGTGTGACTGAAGCACAGTGGTGGGTCCAGGCTACTCGGTAACAAATGGGAAGAAAGAGCATGGGGGCCCACCCAGAGCCCCACGCCGCCATGGCTTTTCCCGTTGCCAATTCAATTCCACGGCCCACTAGGCCAGCTCCTTTCACACCCAACCTTCCACCACAAGCAGTTGTCTGTCTGGCTCCACGTCTCTAAGGCAGCCCTGTCTGCTCCTGTTTGGGCATGTTTCAAAGCACTTTCCGCCAGGGCAGGGGGCACTGGGACCTCTCCATGGGCCCATCTCCCGGTGGCTGCACCACCTCCTCCGGCCAGCCCTGGCTGTGGCTGATCCCCACCTTCCTGGCACTGCCTGCCACAGCTCACTCAGTCCCCGTGGCATCCCTGTGAGGCAGATTTCACTGGGACCCCCATTTTCAGATGACAATATGAGGCCCAGTCGCCCAGCACAGCCAGCACATGCTGGAGACAGGACTCACATCGGACTGCCTGGCTCCTAACCACCGTGCAGCCTCCCTGAGCCCGCTCCCCGGCCCGGCTCAGAGCCCGAGGCTTGCATGTTTCTTGGGATGTGTGACAGAGAAGCCCGAGCTGAGAAAGGCGTGAAGAAGCGCTGACTTCTCCGTTTCCTGTGCTCTCATCCTGGCAGCTGATGCCACTGCTGAAGCTGCGGCACACCCACATCTCTGTGTACCGGGAGCTGTTCATCACGTGGAATGGGGAGGTGGGTCAGAGCTGACGTCTACGGGCTCAGCCGCCGCGGGGTGGGCTGTGGGACGAAGCCGAGTGAGCCCAGAGCACGCCCACCCCCCACGGTCAGAATAGCTCGTGTGGCAATGGCAGTGACTCTAAATGTGGCCATACCTGACCTGACACTCACCGGGACCAGGTACCATGCTGGGGGCTTTCCGTGCATGGTCTTGTAGGAGCCCCAACAACCTCATTAGGGGTTTTTTTTTTTTTTTTTTTGAGACAAAGTCTCACTCTTATGCCCCGGGCTGGAGTGCAATGGCATGATCTTGGCTCACTGCAATGTCTGCCTCCCGGGTTCAAGCGATTCTCTTGCCTCAGCCTCCCAAGTAGCTGGGATTACAGGTGCGTGCCATGACGCCCAGCTAATTTTTATATTTTTAGTAGAGACGGGGTTTCACCATATTGACCAGGCTAGTGTCGAACTCCTGACCTTAAGTGATCCACCCGCCTCAGCCTCCCAAAGTGCTGGGATTATAGGCTTGAGCCACCACGCCTGGCCAGGAGGGGTTCTCAACCCATTTGACAGAAGAAGAGACAGAGGCTAACAGAAACAAGTTGCTCCAGTTTAGCCAGCTAGTACGTGACCAAGTCAGAGGGCCAGGCGAGGTGGACCTGATTCCCGGGCTCTGCACACAGCCACCGAGCTTGTCCTGGTGAGCCTGTGCCTCTGATGACAGAGTTTCTACTTTGATGGAAGGAGCTAGTTGACCCCCATCTCCACAGCCACCCGACGCAAGTGCTGTCCTGGGCCTGTGCGCCCCTTCCTCCTGCAGCCCCGGTGCAGCTTACTGACCAGCACCACATCCGTCAGCACATGCCAGGAGGGCTGCAGGGCAGGAAGCACGGTCCCTGTGCTCCTGATGGGGCCTAGGGCTCTGGTTCAGGAGCTCTCCAAGGCCACAAAGCTAGTGAACAGCTGACTGGGGACAGAGACTCAGGTCCGGCAGCCGGGTCCTGTAGGCTGGATGACTTCTTGTCTTTACAAGGAGCCTGGAGCTTTCCAGTCACTTCCAATGTGTCTGAGGCAGACAGCGGGAGGCTGAGAAGGCACAAGGGGTGCTGGAGGTAAAGAGGGGCCGAGAAGCCTTATGCCAGGCGCCAGCCTGCATGAGACGTCCACACTGGCATTCCCACCTGGGGCCAACAATCCCGGGTCTGAGCAGGAAAGGCCCCTCACATGCTCCTTCTGCTCCAGCTGGGTCTCAGGGAGGGGACCTCACGGCATGCACTCCCAGAGATTTTTCTGAGCACCCACTGGTGCTCTGAAGGAGGGTGCAGAGAAGCCAAGAGGACATTTCCCTATGGGAGGGAGCACAGAACTGGGGGCCCTGACCCGGTCTGCTGGGGCTCTGGCCAGGTCCGGCTCCTTAGAGGAAATGGATCTGAGCTGAGCCCTAAAGAGTGAGTAGTTATCCCCATGAAGGGGGTAGGTAGTGGTCCAGGCAGAGGGGTCCAGGTGTGCAGTGGCCAGGGGACAAGTGCAGCTTTCGGGAAAGTCCAAGTAGCTTGGTGTGGATGGAGTGTGGAGTGGGGGTGGGGCCTGGGAATGGGGAGAGGAGAGAGAGGAAACTGAAGGTGGGGCAGGAGGGGCTTGTAGCCTCCTCCAGTGGGCAGTGCTCCCATGACCACTGCGGATGGCAGCTGAGTGCAGGGAGGCCCTGGAGCAGGCGAGCCTGTAGAAGCATGGGGTCCTGGGCATCGCCTGGATAAGGGCCTCCTGTCCCAGCAGATCTCTTCTCTGTACCTCTGCCTGGTGATGGAGTTCAACAAGCTCAGCTTCCAGGAGGTCATTGAGGATAAGAGGAAGGCAAAGGAAATCATTGACTCTAAGGTAAGATCCTCTGGGCACCAGGCCTGGGGGCCACCTAGACCTGTGACACAGGCCCTGCAGCTCGGGGCAAAGTGACAGCGGGAAGGCAGGCACCATGGAGTCCAGCCTTGTTTTTTTCTTAAATGTATGCCTCGAGGCATTGCACCCTAGGACGCGTGCAGATCTTAAGTGCACAGTTTGGTGCACTCATACAACTTCTACCCAGATCAAGGCAGAAGGCGTTCCTAACCACAGAAGGTTCCCAGTTGGTGACCATGATTCCAGATGGTTCTGCCAGTCGGTCCCTGAAGTTCACGTAAATGGACTTCTCCGGCATGCCGCACGCTCCTGTCTGGTCTCCTTCCCTCAGCTGCTGCATGCACCCGCAAATCATCTGTGCTCATTGCTTGCTGCCACTCTGCTGCCTGGCTGCCCGGCAGGCTGGTTCCCTAGTCTTGTGTGGATAAGCACCTGGCCTCGCTGCAGGCTGTTTCCCTAGTCTTGTGTGGATAAGCATTTGGGCTGCTTCCAGTTTGGGGCCATTGTGAATAAGGCTGCTATGAGCATTGCTGGAAGGCACTCACTTTTCTGGGATGAATACCTGGGAGTGGAATTATTGGGTCGTAGAATAGGTGTGTGTGTAGCTTTGGTAGATGCTCCAAACAGATTTCCAATGTGGTTTGGTTGGCCCCATGTTTACTCTCACAAGCTGTGAGCATTCCCGGTCCACATGGCGGCTAGCGCTTCACTGTGTCAGTCTTGTTGTTGTCGTTGTTGAGATGGAGTCTCACTCTGTCGCCCAGGCTGGAGTACAATACACGATCTCGGCTCACTGCAACCTTCGCCTCCCGGTTCAAGTGATTCTCCTGCCTCAGCCTCCCAAGTACCTGGGACTAAAGGTGCCCACCATCGCACCCAGCTAATTTTTGTATTATTAGTAGAGACAAGGTTTTACTATGTTGCCCAGGCTGGTCTCGAACTCCTTACCTCAAGTGATCCGCCCACCTCAGCCTCCCAAAGTGCTGGAATTACAGGCGTGAGCCACCGCGCCCGACCAGTTCACTTTCTTAATGATGTCTTTTGATGACAGAAAGTCCTAACTGTAATGAAGTTCGCTTTCCCAATGCTGTCTCTTATGGTTAGTGCCTTTGGAGTTTAGGAAGCCTTTTGTGCTCCAAGGTCATGAAGATACTCTCCTCGGTTCTGGAAGTTTGGTCGTTTTTGCCTTCGCATTTAGATCTTTCATCTCCCCCAGAAGAATGCTGCCTGCTTTTACCCTGAGAACGGTGTTTGGTGGGAGCATGTGCCCCAAGGGGCTCTTCGGGGCACACAGCTCTTCTCTTACTGTGGGCCTCAGAGGCAGGCCCGAAGTCAGTTTCAGACTTTGAGTGAAGCCCTTAAAACACAAAATGTTCTCAGAAACCCAGTAAGTGCAGCAGACCTACTCTGACTGGGGAGAGTGGGAGGATGCTCACGTCCTGCCCCTTCAGCCCCTCTCTGACACCCCAGGGTGGCCCTGAATCCAGGGACCCTAGGAGCCCAACTTCAGAACCACCGCCCTGGGTACTCGATGGAGCTTGTCTCTGACGTCGAACACTCCCAGCATTCTCTCTCAGGGTTCTTTTCATTAGAATGACTTAGAGGAACGAGCTTGTGTAGGCACTGAAGGCTTCCACCCCTCCCATACCCGCAAGGCCCATCTGCCTCCAGCTCCCGGCAAGTGTGGGGCAGTGCGGGCCGCAGGGTGGGGTGCAGGGATGGGGCCCTGCAGCACCCGGGGTCTCTGGTATAGAGACAGCAGTGTGGAGTCTGGAAACTCAGAGTCCTTCTGGCTGCCGCCGCGGCTTAACCATCTGGAGAGCCACCACACTGAAGCCTCCTCCACCCTGAGCGCTTGGCTGGCTTCAGGCCTGTCTCAAGATGCAGGGAGAGAAAACACCACCATCCTGCTGGCTGCTCTGAGTGTCACCCCCCGAAAGCAGCACAGGGCGCCCCTCCCATCCTGGCACCCCCTGCTTCTCCCCCAGTGGATGCAGAATGTGCTGGGCCAGGTGCTGGACGCGCTGGAATACCTGCACCATTTGGACATCATCCACAGGTGAGTGGGGCCCCTGACCTCCCTGGACTGGTGGGCTGCTTCGGGAGAAAAGGCACTGAGGCCACTCGGGTGCCAGTGCCCGTGGGCAGGATCTGGGGAGAAAGGCGCACTGGGCCAGTGCAGCCAGGATAGGATGGGGACCTTCCAGACCTCCTCCCAGGCTCAAAAGAGGCCCGTCCAAGTGGTCTCAAGCCATGTGCACACGCACAGCTGCATGGGGTGTGCGCTAGCCAGGCGGGCTGCTCTAGAGTTCATGGAAAGGAAGGAGGCAACAGCCCTGCCAGGAAGAGAGACCAGGCTGCCTGTCGTGGCGCCGGTGTTGTCTGAGTGGGCCCTGCTGAGCCTTTGACCACCCAGCGGCACAGCATCAGGCTGGAGAATCCACGGTCTGAAGGGGCTGGGAGATGGCTCCAATTCTGAACACCAATATCGTATTTAAAGAGGAAGAGGGAACCCATGTGGCTGGGCATGGTGGCACATGCCCGTGGTCCCAGCAGCATGGAGGCTGAGGTGGGAGGATTGCTTGAAGCCAGGAGCTTGAGGCTTCAGTGAGCTATGATCGTGCCGCTGCACTTCAGCCTGGGCAACCCTGACTTAAAACACACAGATACACACACACACATACACACACACCACGCAGAACATATGTACAAAGGGAATGCTTCACATTCCACATTCAGTGTCATGTCACTAGACATCGCACAATGGCCAAAAATCAATACCCAGTCAAATGCATCGCTGGGCTATCTAAGGAGGTGAACACGTCAACCCAGGGACCTTTCCGGGTGTTGGGGGTGTTCCTACTTGTGGTTGGAGATTCTTCCCCCGGTTTAAAATAATTGAGTACATTTCTGTACATAGAAACAACTGCTTAAAAAGTAGGCTGAGATGGGGCATTTTGTGGAGGGGAGGAGGGTGTGGGCTGCTGCCTCAGAACCGGGTGGGGCAGGGAGCAGAGAGTCAGGCTCAGCACGCACGTTGGTCCCACCTGGGGTCGGGGGTGGTGGCTGCCCAGGTGGCCCCTTGGCACCCAGAGGCGAACCCCCTTCTTGGTTTCAGGAATCTCAAACCCTCCAACATCATCCTCGTCAGCAGTGACCACTGCAAACTGCAGGACCTGAGCTCCAACGTGCTAATGACGAACAAAGCCAAATGGAATATCCGTGCGGAGGAAGGTGGCAGGGGCTCCCCTAAGTCGTGGGAGAGGGGGTTGGCACCTAGAATCCAGACGGTGGTGGCCACTCTGGGTGCTGGAGTGAGGCAACATCAAACAGCTGTTTGCTCAGAAGGTCCCCACAAAGCCCTAGCCTTGTGTGGACCCCAAAGAGACCTCCTTTGGGTTGTAACTGAGCAGGCGTGCCACCACCAGGGGCAGAGGCAGGGCCCCAAAGACACCCAGCATTTGAGAGAAACAAAGTCGTGGTTGTTTGTGATACCCCAGAAAATGTTGCTTCTCAGGGAGGGAAAAGAAAGCTTCGGAAGGAAGGAAACGAAAATGCCCAGGACGGAGGGTCTGTGGGTGCCACACACTGACTGCGTGTAGATCACTGAGTCCTAAAACAACCCAGGAGATGACTGGGGTGGGTGGCAAGGAGAGACGAGTTCTCGTTCCTTCGAAAAGATGGCCGGAGAAAGGAGGCTGGAGAGAGTAACCACAGAGGAGGAGTCCAGAGTCCAAAGTCCCAGGGTGGCAGTGGCTGGTTGCACTCTGTCCTTGGTAGACAAAAGATGAATGAGTAGATGGGTGCAGAGATGGGTGGGTGTGTGGTTAGGTGAGTGGATGGGTGGATGGATGGTGAGTGGATGGATGGATGGATGGATGGATGGATGGATGGATGGATGGATGCGTGGGTGGATGAGTGGATGGATGGATGGATGGGTGAGTGGATGGATGGTGAATGGATGGATGGATGGATAGGTAAGTGGATGGATGATGGGTGAGTGGATGGATGGATGGATGGATAGGTGGGTGGGTAAGTGGATGGTGGGTGAGTGGATGGATGGGTGGGTGGATGGGTGGGGTGGGTGAGTGGATGGATGGATGGATAAGTGGGTGGATGGACGGATAAATAGGTGGGTGGGTGGGTGGATGGATGGATGGATGGATGGATAGGGTAGGTGGGTGGGTGAGTGGATGGATAGATAGATAGATGGGTGGGTGAGTGGATGGGTGGGTAGGTGAGTAGATGGATGGATGGGTGGATGGGTGTGTGGTTGCATGGGTGGGTGTATGGGCAGATGGGTGAGTGCATGGGTTGTGGACGGTTGGGTAGGTGAGTAGATGGATGGGTGGGTGGGTGCATGTGTGGATGGATGTGTGGGTGGGTGGGTATATGGATGGATTGGTGAGTGTGTGGGTAGATGGGTGGGTGTGTGGGTGGATGAGTGAGAGTGAGTGAATGAGTGGGTGGGTGGGTGAGTGGATGGATGAGTGGATGAGTGGATGGATGGATGGATGGATGGGAGGG